TTTATTTTGCGTTATAACTCTGCGATATGTTTTACATTGCAACTCCGCAATATGTTTTACATTACAACTTTGCGATATGTTTTATCGAAAAATCTCTACAATACGTTTTCAGCGTTGCATTTCCACAATATTATTTCGCTCTCGATTTAATTAGTGAGTTCCATAGCGATATAATTGCTTGTCGCCTCTCCGTAAAATGTTTTTGTTTCGCATCTAAGACATTTTTGTTATGGCATCTCCACGGTCTGTTTCTCATCTCATCTTTACGATATATTTCGAATCGCCACTGGTCGATGTATTTTCACCATTCTTCACCGCAATATATTTTTCCGTAGCTGCTCGGCGATATATTTTCGCCTCACTTACCTGCGAAATATTTTCACATAGCATCATCACGTTAAGTTGCCGCTTGTATCCCGCAATTTATTTAACCTAGAAGCTCGGCGCACCTCTTAGCTTCGCAAACCAGTTACATGATTTCTCATTACTGCCCCACAATTTATTTAGCGTTCCATCAGTGACACTTTTTAGAGTAGCATCTTGGCCACGTTGTAGTGACAACTCGCAAATTTATTCGTCTCGCATCTACACAACTCTTTGTGCTCGCACCTCATCTCCAAGATATAATTTTGTGAAGCAAATTAACTTGTTGCTTTGGTCTAATCCTTTCTATTTACTCTTGCGTGGCATTTTAAGATGTAATTTCGCGTAGAATTTTCACGATTTACTAACACGCGACATATCTTCCGCCTACACCACTAAACCTTACTTCAGCGTCGCACCACGATTAAACTTCGAATCCGATTTTTCTGCAGCAACTTCGTGATTTTTCTTGTTGCCTCTTCTTTGCAAGTCCGAAAACCACCTTCGCGTCATATCGCAATGACTTAATTTCGTGTGGCTTCTCAGCGATTTAACTTGGCAAATATCTCTGTGACCTGATTTCGAGACGCATCCCCATTTGTCTGATCCTAGACATTTACTTTCGCATTGCACTAAGACTTGATTTAGCCTCTGACCTATACAACATACTTTCCCATCGAATCTCTTCAGCTTACCTTCTTACATCACCTAAACTTTGCACCGCGTTGCATCTCAGCAGCTTAAGTTTGCATATGATATCCAGTCTAATCTTGTCGCATCTACGTGATTTTCCTTAGCGTCGAAGACCCATGACATCTTGTCAAATTATAATTCCACGATTTGCTCTCACTTATCTTTCTGAATAACATTTGGTTGAAATCTCTATGATATACTTTCTCGTCTTACCTCCAAGATTTATTCAAGCTTCTTAACTCTATTACGCATGATATATTCATGAGTTAATTTTCGTGTTAACTCTTACCAACTTATCTATCCATCACAATTCCTTGTGTTACCTTCGCACAACACGTCTTTTCTCCACGCCGCAACATTGTGATTTTATTTCGCATCTTATCTCCGCGACTTTGCTTTGCGACGCATCCGCATCAATTTCATTCACATAGTATCCTCGCGACCTTCCTTCGCGTAGTAACTCCGAGATTTACTTTCGCATCTTAGTCATACTTTACCTTAGTTTCGGTAATCTTAATTAGTTACGCCTATTACTGATACTGTACGTCTCTTTATTAGAAGTAAGAGTAATTGTGCTGCCGCAGCATTACCTTGCTGAAACCAAGTTTTATACCTCGCAGTGGCACATAAAGGAATTGCTAAAAAGAGCCCAAGCAGGTCTATGAGGTGGATTTAGTAGGTTTCGTTTATATGTTCGATAGAACTTCTGAAATCACCTCAGACAGCCTTGAAAATCAGAAGACTCGGTAATAAAGTACTTTGGTGGAAAAGTCATCTGCGTTATACAGAAAATGGGCTAATGATCGTTGTCATGCGATTGAGGCATATCAGCTATGTAATCGTTATTGTGACAAAAAGCCGGTGGAATAAATGACTCTGGCGGATTGATAAGATCTGCCATGAACTGGCTTCTTAGTCGCAGAGTTTGACGATCGGGTACTAATTGTGACTTAGCTTTTCTTGACGGCGCCAACAGTGCCAAAATATTTGCACGATCCGACGTTTTGGGAGGTTGATAAGGCGAAGAATTAGGACTGCCATCACTATCTTCGTTGGTGCTACTGTCTCCATCCGTAAAGGAGTTACTTTCATCATCAGCATTTATGCTGCTCACCTCCTTGCTTCCGTCAGTCAAATCATTAAAATTCTCTTCAGCATCCTCGATTTTATCGTCTTCCTTGCCTTCATTATCCTCATCGGAGTCATCAGTATCTTCAACATCATTGAAGTCTTCAAGACGCCGGCGCTTAGGTAACTTCAAGAGACCGTCTAGACAACGTGCTAGCTCGGACAGATGATCAATCGACCAGAAGCAGACATTAGCCCCTAATGGGCAAGTTGAGGCGAGAAGAGCCCCGTCTGAAGATATGGTGAGACTTAGACAGTCACCTGAGGAGAGCCCTTTAGGTCCAGTAGAATGCTTGCCGAGACAGGAGAGCAGCCGGTTGGGCAGTATACCAAAAGCACTAAGAATAAACATAAAAATAATTAAGATCTACATTCAAGGCAATAAAAAACTAAAGCTATCCATAAATCTAATGGAGAAGTAGGCATATGCTAGAGATGTAATAAAGAAAAGCTTGCTTTGCTCTAGCAAATATCTGCCATAATAGAAAACATCGCAACAAATGAAAAGTAGATACTTTATGGGTTGTTTGACCTTGTTTTCGCAACTTGGTCGCATAGATATGAAGATTGAGAGGAACGCACCTAGTCCAGAATCCATTGTATGCATGATTATGCCCTAAGTCGGACTGTGGACGTGGTTCATTCCCAGACGTTTCACCGGCATCGTCAGTGAGTCTTTCCATTCTTAGCATCATACAACAACTCGTAAACAAAAACTGAAGCCAATCTTTTGATCAAATGTGTGATAAACGGATGTGGTATCTCTCCTTCTCTCATGGGCATGGGCTATTCACCTTTCCTATATCCACGTATTACGCCTTCACTATCACAATTTTTACTTATTTGTTAAAATATACTGTGGTGTTCCATTTTGAGCAGCTCTCATCGGAACCCTCTACACTCCATGCTGAAGCTCACATCCCCTTTCACTCTTGTGGTGGGAATGTTGATGAGTCTGCCATAATTTTACGCAATCCTCCTTTCATAGGTCTTATCAGTCTCCCACTTGCCCCGTAGGATCCGTCTGCTCTCTCACTGGTTCAAGTATTTCACTCAACCCCTGCCACCCCATTTGTGCTACTCGAGGCGTTATTACCCATCCCCTGCGTCTGGGTGACTAATTCGAAGCTAAAGCCTCTGAGTAAGTCTCATGGTCAAGCCTTTGCTACATGGACCACTTATATGGTAAAACAGGCCTACTGTCAGACAACTAGCTCCAGTCTCCGCCGCGTCTATCCTGTTTCTATCAGTAATACCAAGTCCATGACTAACTATGCCCTAATCTCTTGTGTGCCAACCCACGAATGTTGTGGTAAGGCTTGCTTTCATTAGGTTCAATGTTGAATCACGACGTTTGTAGGTTGGCACACAAGATACTAGGGCATAGTAAGTCATAGACTTGGTATTACGAATAGAAACAGGATAGATACGGCTAGCTGACAAAAAATAGACGTGCTTTATGGACCGCGTCTATGATCAAACACCTCTATTGGTAGCCAACTAGCTATAGTCTCCACAGCGTCTATCCTGTTTCTATCCATTTTACCATGTCTATCACTTCCTATGTCATAGTCTCTTGTGTGCCAACCCACAAACTTCGTGGTTCAACATTGAGCCTAATGAAAGCAAGCAGTACAATAACATTTGTGGGTTGGCACACAAGAGATTAGGGCATAGTAAGCCGTATACTTGGTATTACGGATAAAAACAGTATAGACGCGGCAGAGACTGGAGCTAGTTGGCTGACAGTACGCCTGTTTTACCATAGACGTGGTCCATGTAGCAAAGGCTTGACCATGGGACTTAATCAGAGGCTTTAGCCTCGAATTAGTCACCCAGACGCAGGAGATGGGTAATTACCCCTCGAGTAGCACAGATGGGGTGGCAGGGGTGGCGTGAAATACTTGAATCAGGGAAAGAGCAGACGGATCCTATGGGGCAAGAGGGAGACTCTGATAAGACCTAGGAAAGGAGGACTGCGTAACATTATGGAAGACTGATCAACATTCCCAGCACAAGAGTGAAAGGGGATGTGAACGTCAGCATGGAGTGTAGAGGGTTCCGATGAGAGCTGCTCAAAATGGAACACCACAGTATATTTAAATAAGCAAGTAGAAATTGTGATAATGAAGGCGTAATACGTAGATATAGGAAAGGTGAATAGCCCATGCCCATGAGAGGAGAGATACCACATCTGTTTAGAACACATTTGGTCAAAGGGTTGGCTTCAGTTTTGGTTGACGAGTTCTTGAATGGTGCTAAGAATGGCAAGATTCACTGACGGTGTGGCTAAACATCTGGAAGCGAACCACGTCCACAGTCCGACTTAGGAATAATGATGCATACAATGGACTCCGGACTAGGTGCGTTCTTCTAAGTCTTCCTACCAATATTTCCAAGTTGTGAAAACAAGGTCAAACAACCTCTATACAACGAAAGGATACTCTGAACACAAAAAAGGCCACACCATCTTGGTCTTCATATTTTTGAGTAAGCAGCGGGTCAAAATTTCAAGAAAAAGCGTTTGTAGGATGAAAGTACATTTTTATCCAACACTTTCCATTGAAAAAATTAAAACGATGAATACCGGGTGCGCGAATATAAATCAATCACGGAAATTCGTTACTAAATGCTTTCCAATGATGCGAGTTTCTATAGTGAAAGAATTGTTGCATAGGTGGAAAGACGTACTCCCAGATGGTTTTAAATTAGTAAGAGTGAATATGATTATTGTAAAACTAAAAGTTGTCTTATACGCAAATGCAGGTGAAAATTAGATTAAGAAACTTCCTTTTAGTATAAAAGGTTCATATATAGGATTCGTACTAGCAAACACCAGCAAGATCTATACTTAAAAAATGTAAGACCGCTGAGGTTGCTACACTGTTCCAGAACATAATGCGAATACGAAGAGCTCCATTAAACTGTACTTCCACTCATCACATTTTGAATAATGTAGGTTATTTTCTTTACAACGGT